GCGGATGGCCCGAACTAGTGAATCGTGGGCTCTGAAGTTATCATTTGGCCCAATTATCATTGTCGTCACACATTGACTGTCGACCTCAGCTACAACCTATCGAAACCCCAAATCCCAGGCCAACTAAATCCCCTGAAACAGACCTCATAATTCCGCCCCCGTAATAGTGCAGATCCAAATATTCACGAAGAATCCCTCGATCCAATCTCCTCGCCCGTCCCTAATCAAGCCGCCAGCACTGCATAGGCATGTGGTGCAGTTGAGAGTCGGTTATAATTTTGACACTAAACTACGTTCATTAATTTTGTAATTATATAATTTTCTGTGATATAATTTAGCGAAACATTGTTAAACACTAAGACCATCAGCAATGCAGCGCTACATATGTATCTTTGCGCTAAAATAGCGCACATCTGCCCTCCAACGGTGCGCCAGATATCTGCGCTAGATGGGAGGAATGAATAGTGTTGCGCCACACTGTAGCACTTGCGCTACATTTTATCTTTTTTATTTTTTTTTATTTTATGTATTTTAATGTAATATTAATATAATGTTTTTTACAATGTGCATTAGTAAATTTATATTTATGCTAAAAAACTTTGTGCAATGTATTTTTTATACTAAATAATTTTGTACTTTTTATTTATTGATGTATTATAATTTTATTTTGCATTTTTTAAATATTAAAATTGTACAGTTTGAATAAAAATTAACACATTCCAATAAGTAGATTTCATTAAATTAAAAGTTTACAACCAACGTAAATCATAAATAAAATACATTTTTATTAATTGGGTAATAAATAGTTATATAATATTAAATATACATATATATACTAATTTATTTGAAATAAAAATGAATAAAAATAATATGTTTGATGTAGAGTAAAATGTAGAGATAAGGATTGTAGATGAATGTTTATCTCTACTCTAGAATAGAGTAAAGTTCGCGCTAAAATAAAAATAGGGGCTGGAGATGGCCTCAGTTCAACAGATCGTGTATGGTAATCGAAACCCCAAATTGATTTATCAACTTGTTATCAATAACAAGTTGAAAAAAAAAATTGAATATAATTAATTTATTATTTTTTCATTTATCATCGTTTATGGTAATCGAAACCCCAAATTGATTTTTATTTTAGTCAAACTATCGGTAATGATGACCAATGACAAAGTATAATCTTGTCTATCGCAAAACAATTATTTCATTACAAGTCGTTTAATTTCACTAGTGTTTAATTAGACATAAATGTAAGCTCAAATAGACCACAGTCCACAGTAAACAAACGCAAATAAACTAAAGCAATTCCAATGTTTTAAATGGAACTCCATTTCGAAATTGCATGAAAAAAAAAACTTCTTTCTAATGTTGTGCTACACTATTATGTAAATTTGAATAGTAACACACGCTATTTAGACATGGCCAAAAACCAATTCCGGACTCGGTTTAGGGCCAAGAGTTGTAGAGCCCTGAATTGGCCCGAATATATGCATGAACCAATTTCGGTTCAGGTCAATTTGGTAAATCGTCGATTCTGAGTCAACTCGGTTTATTTAAAATAAATAAATATTTCATAAAAAGGGCCAAATTGCCGATTCAAAAAAATATACATATGTGCCCTAGAACCGAGTCTGACAAACCACAGGCCCAGGCCTCTTGACCACAAACTGTTCAGGTTCAGGGCCGGTTCGGCCGATCATCATTTTAAACATTACCAGATACTGAATTTTTTTCTCATTCTTTTTCTTATTTTTAATTAGTTTTTATTTCTATTTACTAATTTTACAACACATACAAAAATAAATGAATTTGTTACTAAATAATTTTAAATTTTAATTTTATAGTTGTACTTGACTTTATTTTGGCCAGATAAATTTTACTCAGACGAAGTTTATTGTAGTGTCTAAAGTAACCTACCCGTCAGTTTAGCCCGACCCGACCTCCGTTTTTTCACTCCATATATCATCATACCCACACGTCTTTAAAACAGAGAAAGCGGGAGTCAGTCAGCAACAAAAAGCAGAGAGAGAGAGAGAGAGAGAGCGCACGACTGAAATCTCAGTGAACAGTTTGTGCTTATGATAGAGTGAAGAAACAGATTGGGGAAAATGACGACGGAGAAAATGATGAAGGATCAGAACAAGGAGAAGCAGTTACAGAAACAAATGGGCTGTATGGTTGGCTGGCTTCACATCTTCGATCGCCACCGTTTTCTCACCGGAAAACGTTTCTACTCCACCGCCGGACGCCTCCCCTCCTCACCGGTACCATCATCATATTCATCCATTATCAATTTGCATTTTATTATCACAAACATCTCATTTCTGATGGCCTAATCTATTTCTTAACTTCTCCTGCACGAATTTAGGCTGTGGACATATCCGATAAATCGACCCCACCGTCCCCCGC